GCTATATAATACGGCAGGATAGCCATGTTGTACTTTTTATGTAGTTGAAGTGTAATAATAAAGGAATTTGAGTATTATCTTAGCTCTCCAGCCGCTTATGCTCTCCTTTCAGCAGTTATGCCATATAGGATAGTGTTCTCTTTAGCTATTATACCGTACAGAACGTGAGACGTTTTTTAAAAGAAAACAAGTGTGTTCATTACTAGAGAAATGAATATTTTATTCAATAAAATATTCCGGTATTTATAACGTTTAAAACTTATGTACTAACAATGTTTCATATTTCTCATATACTAGAAATAACCAATGATTACATGAGTTACTCCCTTATTATTTATATTACAATATATAAAAGAAATATTTATCTAATTTAATAATTTCTCAAAAAGGAGAATCCGTAATTCTGTTAACTACTTCTTAAGTAACATAATACACCGTTTTCAAAAAATTTTTTTTTTGTTATATTGGTACACCTTTTCTTGACATATGGTACAAATTTGAGCACCATCTGTCAATCAGTTTGTTTACAGCAGCTGTTAATGTGAGACTATCTCAAGTGCATTTAGAGATTTTTACTATGGAAAATTCAGTTATGAACAACGATGTTCACTAACAAACTAAGTTCCTTACCACTGGTGGGGGGAACAATATACGAATGCGGAGATATTGATTGTAAGTCAATAACTGATTTTATTTACAATAAATTGGTCTTTTATACAAATTAAAATGCAATAATAATTGCAAAATATACAATATTTACTTAAACTAATTTATTATATAATTCGCACAGAATGCTTACTAAGCAACCTATGCGTGCGCTTAACTTATGGCCTAATTCATATTATTTGGTTGATTCGTCAACCAAAAAATTAAGCAGCAGGTGTGAGCGATTAACTCATAACATAGTTGTTTTTTTTTGTTGATTCATCAACAAGTTAAACAACAAGTTTGTTTGAAATTTTGTGTTTTGAACGAAATTTCATGTGTTGAAGCATTAAAAATGGTGCAGAAAGCTTACGGGGACTCTTCTATATCTCGAACACATGCATACGTGTTCGTATCACTCATTCAAAGAGGATCGTGAAGTGATCGAAGATTTGCCTCGTTCTGGACGTTCCTCAACATCAAATACCGAAAAAAACGTGGCAAAAATTTGAAAATTGTGCTGGAAGATTGTCGTATGACTGATTTTTTTTATTCAGATTGATTTTTAATTTCTTTATCCAAGCAATTATGTTATCTATACTATTTTGCAAATTACACTAGTTTACAAATAATTAAAAGTTTTGTTTTCCAAAGACGAGACTTTTCCGTAAAACAAGAAAATCACAACGATTTTTTTTCTGTTACCGTTTTCGAGTTATTTGCAAAAAACCGTTATTTTGACTATTCTCAAAACATCATCCTGCATATGGCCCCATAACTTTATTTTTGAAGTTACCATAGTAATGCATGATATATCAAATTAAAGGTGAAACTTGTATAAACATTTTGAGTTACATAGCGTTAATATAACTTATTTAGTTTCGCTGCTATAGCTGAAAATGTACAGATGAAAAATGTTTTTTTACGTTTTTTCCAACATTTTTAATTTTCAATGTGATAGGACTCCCACAAATATATTTAAAAAAAAATCTTTTTTTGATTGATGTTAAAGACTGTTTCGAGTGGCTTAACATAAAAATCGAATAAAAAATGCAGAAGTTATTCGCCATTTTCCAAATTTGCCCAAAACAGTGGATTTTATTAACAAATCAGAAAAATCATTTTTTCGAATTTGTTTTTTAAAATTTAGAGTGCAAATCAAAACAGTATTATGTAAAATTATACAAATTTTATTTAAAAATTAAAAATTAATATTATTAAATATTAATAACATATATTGCATTTTATATAAAAGTTTGACGTCGAACGTGAAACTGCTGATTGCCTTTGTATCATGTAATATGTAGCAGTTTACTAAACCGTTAATTTTACATATGATACCATACGATTCTACTTGCGATTTGCTATGGCTAAGAAAGATAAACCGTGGACTTCTAATAGAGTGTGTCTAACCTACAGAATTACACTTAAAAGATGGTATATTGGAAGAAAACAATATTTGAACCTTTGTGTACCAATATTTTGGAAAGAGGTTGTAATCCATTCTCAGTATTATTTCTGCGTCATAAATCTTAAATGTATAGGGAAAATTTCCCTATAGGAAATATAAGTCCCGTCTTTGGAAATTTTTGGCTGTAAACTAGTGTTATTAGCTGCTATTATTGCGCTTTCTTCAACTTCAAGGACTGGAGTATCATCAGCAAAAGTTGCTGTGAACGTTGTTGCACTCGTTGGCTGATCGTATGTATAAATAAGATATAAGAGGGGACCCAAAACACTACCTTGCAGGACTCCAGCGTTAATTTTATGCAATTTGCTATAGGCATCACCGTGCTTTACTCGAAAATAACAATCAAGGGGAAATTATGTCATAATACTCCGTTGGAAGAACATTTTTTACTTTGGTAAGCAATCCGGAGTGCCAAACTTTATCGAAAGCCTGCGAGACATCTAAAAACATGACTGAGCAGATTTTTTTCCTCAAGAGCTTTTTCTATTACGTTAGTTATTGTATCTTGAACCAAACTGATGTAAAGGTATTATGTTTTGACTTTCAATCAGAGGGAAGGATCCTTTTAAGTAAAACTTTTTCAAATATTTTTGAAGGTACAGGCAGCAGTGCTTTTGGTCTGTAACTACTGACGTCATAAATATCCTTTTCTGATACCATGATAATTTCAGATACTTTCCACAGGGATGGAAGAGTTCGCATCTGAATTATAGCATTAAATATATTCGTAATTTTGATTAATCATTTCGCAGGAATTCTTTTAATACTTCAGCACTTATCAATTCATAACCTAGGGTTTTTTTTAGCTTAAGTTCATTTTTGATAATCATCATTACCTCAAGCTCAGTGGTTGGTGAAATACAGGATGAATATGCTGTCCTAAGTGGGCAGAATATTGCATTGTTAACGTTTCCGTCTATGGAAAACACTTTAAACAGGTGTTCGGAAAAGACCTTCACTTTTTCCTTATCGCTTTTAGCCCATTAATTAGCGTGATTTTTAATTGGGACTTTGTGTACTAAATGTCGCTTAAGGTTTCGTGTGCATTTCCAGAGAGAATAGTTGGTTGCACGATCATTACTTAAGTTAGATAGTTAGTAGTTAAATAGTTGTGGTGGTGGGAGGACGAAACCTCCCCAATTAGCTAAAAGAGAAAGCCGTTTTGAATCCACAAAAAAACTCGTAATAGTTGATAGTAGACAGAAGCTCAACCTAGAACCAGCCAGAGGCATTAATAAAGGTAAGAATCTAGCTAATGCTAATGCTGGAGATATCGCTAAGTGAGTTGAAGAAGGGGGCCCCAGAAGTTTAAACCTAATTCTAGCCAGACCTGAACAAAAACACATCAGGTGTTCTGGTGTCATATCTTCAAGAGATGGTATAATTTACTGATCATTAGGGCCGTAGAAAAGATTCCGGCTCCATTTTAGACCCGTCGGTGTAAATCGTTATCTTTTCTAGAGTTGTAAGCAATTCCACCTTCCAATCCCTTCTTGAAGGAGTTTTGGTGGCGAATTTGTTGTCGAATTGTTACCGAGGACATAGGTAGCTTGAATCCCTGCTATCATCTGTCGGATAGAATGATGCAATATTACCATGTCCCAAAGCAATCGAGCGCCAAGAGTTTAGATCATTAAGCCTCTGCGCGCTGAGAGTTGCTTGATGTATATATCAATAGGTAACAAGTTAAGTATGACGTTGAGCGCACTGGTGGGGCATGATCTTACAGCCCTCGTAACTCCCACACAGGCAGACCTTTGCATTCTGGTTAGTCTTTGAACAATTTACTGTTTGTTCAACGAGGGCCACCACACCAGACATCTATATGTTAAAATTGGCCGAACGACGGCTGTGTAAAGCCAGAGAATCACTTTGGGCTGTAATCCCCAGCTCTTACCGTAGATCCTTTTGCACGCATAGAATGCCACACAAGCTTTACGAATTCTTTCGTCGATGTTGGCTTTTCAGTTAAGTTTTGTGTCGAGAATTGCTCCTAGATACTTAACTTTGTGCGAAAGAGTTAATATTTGACCATTTAATCTTGGCAGCAGAAAGTTTGGAATTTTATATTTTTTGGTGAACAGTAACAGTTTAGTCTTAGAAGGATTAGCACCTACATCACACTTTGAGGCCCATTTACTAAGGTTCCAAAAAGCGCCCTCCATAATGTTACTCAGCACCGAAGGGAACATACCTGTTACCAGAAGGACAACATGGTTAAGCCTTAAAAGCAGTGAATTCATTGTTAAAATCCATAATAAGGGAGATAACACTCCCCCTTGTGGTGTACCTCTCCTGACGCATTTCTTAATGCTTAGATTCCCCATCTCTGCATTGATGATTCTAAACCCAAGCATTGATGCGATCCATCGGGAGATGCAGGCCGAGACACTCATTTCACTGAGAGCCTCCTGAATGGTTTCTACACTAACGTTTTTAAAAGCACCTTCTATATCCAAGAAGGCGGCTAAGGTGAATTGTTTACATCTAAGAGATTTCTCCACCATGGTAACTACCTGATGTAGTGCCGTTTCCGTGGACTTCCCTTTGAGATATGCATGTTGAGCCCTCGATAGTTTGGCAAAACAATGTAAAGATCTTATGTAAGCGTCGATCAGTCTTTCCATAGTTTTAAGTAAGAAAGAAGTAAGGCTGATGGGTCTGTAATCTTTAGCCGTACTGTGACCTATTCTACCTGTCTTTGGAATAAAAACTATTCTAACCTGTCTCCAACCACTGCGGACATGGTTAAGTGAAAGGCAGCTGCAGAAGATCGTGGACAGTCAATTTACAGCTACATCTCCCAGAGATTGTAACATAATTGATAAGATCCCGTCAGGACCCGGACTTTTGTATGGAAAGAAGTAATCGATAGCCCATTTGATCATTCTAGAAGATACCACTGACTGTATAGTCGCGTCAGAGTTGGCTGAACGATACGGTAATACCTTTGGGTATCACCCGAGGAACCAGGAAAATGGGTAGCTACTAATAGTGAGAGGGATTCCGTTAAGAATTTAACTGGACTTCCATCTACTTTGTTAATGAGGGAGGGACAAGAGCGACTATTTGCTAGCATTTTGGCTAGTCTAGCCGATTCTTTAATACTTTCAATTTGCTCGCAATGAGAATTCCATGACAATTTCCTGGATTCCCGAAGCGCTTTTTTGTAAACCCTTAGAGCATCCTTATATGGAGTCCAAACCTTGGTACAATAGCTTTCACTGAAAGCTCTTCGTGCATTCCTGCGAAGCAAAAAGAGCTTCTCGTTCCACCATGGTGGCCTCCATTTCTTCGCATACGAGCGAGGACACGATGCTTCAAAGGAAGAGATGATATTATCTGTCAAAGAGTTGACCCTACCCTCCAATTTCCTAATCGAGTTAATTGGAGCGGGGGCTATGTTGACTTTAATACTGAGCAAAGACCTTAAAATGTCCCAGTTTGCCTTCCTGGGATTACGTTGAGATTGCTTAGCTACTATGGGAATATCCATAACAAACATGATGTATTTATGATTAGAGAAGGAGTTCCTGGCTGAAACTCTCCAGTCATTGATCGCTAATGAGCGGGAAGTCGAGCAAAGTGCAATATCTAAAACCTCTTCCCAGCCACCCTTATTACATATTTCTAGATTACACCTTAATATAAAGTCAAAAAGAGACTCACCTCTATCGTTGATTTTCGAGCTTTCCCACAAGGAGTGCCGGGCATTGGCGTCACAACCCATCAAAGCTAGCTTCTCGGTCTGCGCGAAATTTTGAACTAGTGATACCCCCTCTGGAGGTGCCGCATCATCGTGTGGCATTTAGGCAAATGTTATTAACACCGCAGGCTTCTGCTTCCGCTCTACCCGGATGGTGGTGATATCTAAAGAGCTTAAATGAGAGCAGAGAAAAGCATTAAGGAGCGTTTTTGCTAAAATGCACGATCTAGGCTTACTTTGTTCTTTTACATAGAAAAGATTGTACCTCTTGGATGATGGCAAGGTCGATGTCCTCCTCCCTGAGTAAGACAGGCAGATTTTCCGTGGCACACTTAGAGTGTTTCAGGTTTATCTGCAGGACCTTGGCCATTGATACATTATCAAAGTTTGTTGTCGATGATGAGGTCGTCTAATAGCTTACTAGTGCTTACTAGCTTACTAGTTTTAGCTGCTGCAGAATAAGGTCCGAAGGACCAAGGTTTTTGGGCAACCAAACGCGTGCTCGAGGCCTCGATGGAATTTCCGCCGCTGGGACAAGTTTCAGCCTTAAACCGTCCCAGTTCTCGCTAATCTTAGTGATCGCCTTGCTGAGAAAACTCCGCGAATACTCGTCGTCGCAACTGATCACTCGGTGACCACAGACGATATCTGCACAGTCAAAAGAAGAAACGGACCCTGGATTGATCACGAGCTCAGCCATTACCAATTCGGACAGTTTGGTCTCAATCAGTGCCCACCTCTCCATTAGCAACTTGCCGTTAGAGT